AGTAAGAATGCAGTTGATCCTTTTTCGGCCAGAATCTTGCAACTGGATCTTTTAGATCCAATCATTTCTTTTATAAAGGTTACAGCAACCAATGGTTCTATGCTGTTTGACTTATACGAAATCCAATTCGTGATTTTTAATCTTCTGTGCCTTGCTGCTTACATTTAAATAACTTGACTTCATCAAGCAAGCCTGGATCTTACTTTATATGAGGAACTACCTGCTTTCATTGCTTTTAAAATCTTAAATGTCTTTTATTACAGTACCAAACCTTTAGTTTAATGAGTCATAAGCAAGAATAGGCACTTGAACTGCCTAGTTCCTTTACATCCACAAAAAATTTTTTTTGTTGCTTTTTCATCAAGGAATCACCTCTTGAAGTTAAAAATTTTTTGTGGAACTGACCGGTTCCTTTCATACCTGATGACTACAAAGTATGTTTATCTAATCATATAAGTACAAAGCATAATTTTCAGTCATTTTTGATCATGATTTAAAAGATCCAGTTGCAAGATTCTGGCCGAAAAAGGATCAACTGCATTCTTACTTATGACGAACTGCAACTGAAAACTTATGATTTGAAAAATAATTTGAGAAATTACATACAAAAAATTTAAGAGATTTAAATCAAAATCCCAAAAAAAAATCCCTTTGAAAAATGATTTAAATCAAAATCGCCTTTTAAAATCATTTTTGATTGAGATTTAAATCGCAAAAAATCACCCCACCCTGGTTACAACTCACAACCCTCCCTATGTTTTTTTTAGAAGACAGACGACAGTAAGAACGTTATGTACTTCTTGACACCCCTCCCCCTTTGTTACATTTTGTTACAATTTTTCAACCCCCCCCCCCCCTAAAATGCGAACGTAATAAGTGAACAACCCCTTACTCGTAACCTGAATTTTTTTAAAAAGATTTTTCATAATGTCAACAAACTTTGATTATGTACTGAAGACAACAACATAAATTTCCAGTTATGACAACTTATGTTGAGCAATAGTTTTAATCAATGGATTCCAAAGTTTCTGACAGTCTTCTTAATGTCCTTTACAAGAAAAATTACCCAGAGAATCTAATTTGAAACAGTCGCATTTTCGAATCGAATTTACCTTTTGTTTCAATTTTGCCCTATAGTGTTTTGTCTAGAGTAGAGTAAGATATCAAGATTAAGAGCCACCGTTCTCTTGTTGTTTGTTCGCGTTTTAGGAATGAGGAGAAGCAGGTTCTATATATCTAGTGTGACAAAATATTTATCGAGTATTACAAATTTAGATACAAATGTAAAGATTAGTTTTAAGTAGAATAATTTTGAAGTCTTGATCAAATTTAGTATATACTTAATTCCATGAGCACGCAAAGTCTTTAGAAACCTCGTTTTAAACCTTTCTGGTAGACGTAAAATTGATGAGTTTCTTTAATAAAATATTCTTACCTCTTATAACTTTGAATTATTTGGTATCTGCAAACTTAACAGCAAATGTTAAAACTATTGATCAAGTTCAAGAGACAATCGCACTCCAAAATGTCTTGACAGACATCTTTAATGTGTTTTTTGTTGGAAGTGAAAGTGAAATTTTAATTGTTTATTTTAAAAATGAGTTAAATGCTAAGTCCGAAGTTGCTTTGATCAACAGTTTTAAAAATCTTGATGAATCATTAAAGTTTAGATTTTATCAATACGAAATAAATTCAGATTATCAGCCCAAGATTAAATGTGCAACACTAATATTTATCGACACAATTAAGAGCTTTGAATATTTTCTAAACGATTTTATAATATTCCGTGATCAGAACAAGCCTTTTAAGATATTCGTTTACATAGAAAGTTTACTGCATTCAGTATTAGATGAAATTGAGAATGATTATGGTGGAATTAAAGTAGCTTCAAAAGGAGGTGCAGAACATACAATTTTCATAGTGAATTCCAAAAATAACATTTATTTGGAAACGATTGAATGGTTTACAAAACAATTTTGTAACTTACCTGAAATAGAAGTTTTAAATAAATACGGAAAAGAATCACAAAAATGGAGCCAAAAGCTTACATATTACGAGAAATTTCTTAAATATTATAATTGTGAATTAGTTTTAGCTTTACCTCTATCGATAAATTCACAAGATTCAAGTATTTGGAGCTTTGCAGAAGTCTTCAAAAATAAAAAGAGCTTCTTGGTTGGAGGTTTAATTCCAATAGTTTTTAAAATTGCAGCACAAAAATACAACTTTAAGGTCGAATATCAGCCAACTCAAAACAAAAATTCAAAAAATAGTTTAAATGATTATAACTTGGATGATATTTACTTGGTGATTTTTAATGGAAGCTATAAAATACCAAATGTTGTTATTATGCAAGCTGAAATGCGAACTTTTAGTGAAGCTTCGGCTTATCGATGTTCAAAACCATTTTGGCAATTTAATGATTACTTTTTAATAACACCGGGTGAACCTTATACAGCTTATGAAAAGTTGCTTCTACCTTTTGACACAATGACTTGGATCTTATTAGGAGTGACATTTTCTGTCGCATTGTTTTCAATAATTTTCATTAATAAACTTTCGAGAGCTGTTCAAGACATCATCTATGGATTCAATGTTAAAACACCAACTATCAATTTAATCAGCATATTCTTTGGAATATCACAGACACGAATGCCAGATGGCAATTTCTCACGACAAATTCTAATTCTATTTATTTACTTCTGTTTAATTTTTCGGACTTGTTTTCAAAGTAAAATGTTTGAATTTATGACAAGCACTCCAAGACGTGCTCCACCGAAAACAATTCAAGATCTTATTGATAGAAATTACACGATTTATACTAACGATTCCGCTTACTCCAAAAAAATAACTTTAAACAAGAACGAAAAGTGGTAAGAACAATTTAAAGATTTCTTTCTTCTAATTTTATTTTTTCAAATTAAACTTGTTTGAAGGCCAAAATATGAGAATTTCACGAGAAAAGATCTGCATCAGTCATACTTGAATATGTCAAAAAATGATACTGTTAAACGAGCTATTCACGTTTCAGACCACATTCATTCTTATCTTATGTTTAAATCCAAAGCACATGATGATTGGAACGAACTTGAGGATTTCAAATTTTTCGTTGGATTAGGGTCGCTTATCATGTTTCAATCTTCATTTTATTTTAGAATGATTGAACAGACAACGAATCGACTCGTGGATACAGGTGTTATGAAGTATTTGCTTGGATTAGTCATCAAGGAACATGTTATGATAGAGAAGCCAAACAGTCTTCCAAATGTTCTTAATTTACAGAATTTGTCATTTGGTTTCAACATTTGGATTGGATTTTTCTGCATTTCTATATTAATTTTTATACTTGAGATTTTAAGTCTAAAATTTCAAATCAAGCGAAGACAAAAATTATTTGGAAAGATTAGATATGAAAAAATATGGCCTGCAAAACTAAATAAATCTACTAGAGATGTGGAACTGAAACTAGAAACACTAAGATATTTTAAAGTAAAAAGTAATAAAAATTATCCCAAAAGTGATAATCTGCAATCAACTGATTTTGATAAGCTCGAGTAAGGGATGGACTTACTTGTGCCTGCATTAAAATTAGGTGCTTATTTTCTCTTTAAATTACGATTGGCGACAGTTTAAGTTCAAAAAAGTCAGTAAGAAAGATCAAATAGAGATCTCGATTCCTGACTTTCAATAAAACAACTCAACCCCAATTAATTTGACAAAATTTAATGCCTACTAAATGTAAAGAATGTTAATCCACTGAACTGCTTCAACCTTAATCTCTCCAGCAGTTCATCTTTAAAGTCAAGCCACAAATCACGCCAACAATTTTCATATGTTAAGTGCCAAAGATGATCATCACAACAATTATCATTAATCATATGATGCACATTAATTTTAAAACTTAGACGAGGATGTTTCGTGTCATAAAATTAATAAATCTTCTCTGGAAGAGAGTAAAAATAAATGTTCATCTCAATCCTGTCTTAATTTGTGCGACACAAAGTTTTTTGTGGTAAATAAAAAAATTTGAACAAAGAAGAAAAATTCAATGGCATGTGGAATTACTTTTGCACAAAATAACAAGCTGGGTCATTTTCATAGTTTCATTTTCCTTGTTTTTCACCACAATATTGAAGCCGATATCGCTTACATTGAGAACAATGAAAACAATTCATGAATAATTCTAATAAGTTCATTAAAACATCAAAACAGATCTGGCAAGAGATTATTGTTCCATCTTCTTGATAATAAGAAAGTCTTCTTGATATTCCTTAAAAATTTTGGTTTGATTTATCGGGAAACGAGGAATGAACAGACATTTATTTCATATAAATATTAAAACAGGTAGGAATGAAGACAAATCATTGAATTCAGAAGCTTAGCTTTAAGTTGGTCAAGTTTTGTGTTCTTTTGTCTTTTGTTTATTCTGATTATTAACCTCTATTAACTTGAACTTTATAAATATTGTGTTAATTTCTTTTATATTTTGAGTTTACTTCGTATTGTTGCTGATAAAGTAATATTGTTGATGACTTTCCACTGATTTGTGTCTAGTTTCCACAACGAGAGTCACAAAACATGATAATTGTTTACTTTTTCATTTTGAATTCCTTTTATTATTTAAACTTCAAATCTTACCCAAGTATTCACATAGAAAAATCCTCAATGTTCATTAAATGATGCCAGTCAACCAATTTGAACAACACTTCATATTTCCCTTTTCAAAGCGGTGCCAAAAAAAGAAAGAAAAGTGAGGTATATAGTCAGACATAATCTTGCCAAAATGGAATTTCACTGAAAAGAAAATTATTGTTTTTCTTGTATGACGCAAATCGCGAATATTAAGTTGAGCACTTAATGCGTTTAAGAGTTGATAACCTTGATCTAATTGCCTTTTTTTCGCAAAATATCTTCTTAAACCTTTCAAAACTCGTGTGATAGTATGTAGATAGAGAAAAATACGTCAATGAATGATAAGCTTGATGCGTAATTATTTATTCAAAGTCATATTTATTTAATTATATTTACAAATACAAACTATATGTGATATACTTTATACATGACAATTTTCTTTATATGAGTATTTAATAAACTGCTATTAGATATTTATATAAAATTATATGTTACTGTTTATAAAAAAATGATAGATTCTCAAGTTGAACTTATTCGTCAAAGATCAAAAATAAATGTGTAGGTTTAAACGAACTTAATTGAAGATTCTGTCAATGAATCATGTTTCAAAATTTGACACAGCTAGTCATCAATCAATGCATTATTTTTTAGCATCGGGGTTCATGTTCTTGATCTTTGTGTAGCTCGTGTTCCGGCTGTCAATATGCTTTTTGGGTCATTTTCAGATGTTTTTTTTTTCGGTTTTGAGGAAAGAGTAATTATGTATTATTGGATTTGGCACTTCCTGGGAAAAATTTATGAATGAGTTCAAAACTATTATTCGAGCTCTTTAGCTTAGATCAGTCACAGTAAGAATTAAGTTTCTTGGATGGGAAGGCTGAGTTTTCACTAAATTACTTCTTTTGACTATTTCATTTTTTGAATCCTAATTTGGAGATCACAATCAATGGTTACAACTGATTAGAACAGAGACTAGAGATCAATTCAAACATTTTTTGCTTATTACGCGACTAGCTTTGGTGACATAAATTCCAATTTATCAACGAGATTCTACTTGAGTCAAAGGGAGCAGGTATCAACTAGTTATAGCTGTTGTATCTATATTTCATACATTATATCAAATTCTATAATCCATAATTACAAATCTAACGTAAGTCAATGATAATTTTTTGGAAGAAGATCTTAAAACTTGAGTGGGAATCATCAATTTTCTGCTTGACTGAATATACCGCCTAGATATTTTTATTAGCCAGAAAAAATATTTCTAATGGAAATAAAACGTTTTTATTGCCTTCCCAAGTTGAATGAATTGAATTTGATTTAGTGTTTTGGTTCCTCAAAAAATATTTATAGTTTTGAATTTTCAGGAATTTCCATTTTTGATCAAATGATTTTGTTTTTTTATTTTTTAAGGGTTAACGTATAGAATGAGATGTAATGATCTATGATAAGCAAGGAACTAGATCTGTGCGTCATAATACAAAGAGTATTAAGCAAGATTTTTGTAGATTAGATTGATTTTGGAATTAGAATATTGAATTTGGATCGATTTGGAGCCCTCGAAAGCTGAATGTTGTGTTCGAAGTATACGACCAGAAATCTTAAGGCTAGGATTCGAATACCATTTCAGATCTTTTATTTATAGACTTTTCAGAAGATCCAACACTTGCTTAATATCAGAGCTCAAAGTTGATGAAATTTTGTATGAAGACTTGGAGTTGACTTCGCCTTACAAAATCGATGAAAGTTGACTTGGAGCTCTGGTTTATATTATGTCAACAGTTTAACATGTCAAAGAATCTTCTCTCGTGCATCAAGATTCAGATTGCCTACTAAGGATTTAATCATTCAAACGAATAATACCATGCATATTAATTAATATTGCTTTATAATCTAAACCTAATTGAAATTCTCTTAATTAAAATGAAATTTTTAACGGATGAGTCAAGTTCATTAAAAAATACTTTAAAGAGCATCTTGATCAGAAAATAATATAGAAGAAAAATTGAAAATCACATGAATTTTTCCACTTTTTGTTATTAATCTTTCTAGACACTAGCAATCTGTACATCAACAGACATGAAATTAGAAATGTTGGAGCTCCGCTATCTTAATTTATAATTAATGTGAACTCTAGTCATATCAAATGTCAATTAGGCTAAATACACAGTTTTACACAAGAAAAAAATCATTTAGTACATTTATAAGGAGCACTCGGTGACTTTGGCACTTTGTCTGTGATAATAATTTTCACATTTTCCGCATTTTCCTCAAAATTATCAATTTTCATGCGATTTTCAGAAAACTTTTTAAACACAAAATTGGAATATTTTCATTATAAACACGTGTGGAAGCTACACACACCGAACAGAACTCATCACTGTATATATTTCAAAATGAAATTATTGGAAATTATTATGAGCATGTACACAGTTCCTTAGTCTTTGATAAAAACTCGTAATATTATTGAAAATTGCTTGTTTTTGGTTCCTTTTTGGTCTTGAATTCCTTTCGTGTCTTGAATCCCTTCCAATTTGCCTGTATTTTTGTTGCTGCTGCCGATGCACTTTTTAATTCCTTACGAATCTTGAATCCTTTCCAACCAGCTTGAATCTTTGCTGCTGATTTTTCTTGCAGTGCTTGATCATCATTTCGATTCACACCATTCTGGCCATTCTTCATCTTTCTAGAGCTTCTTAATTGCTTTCGTACACGATATCCTTTCCATCCAGCTTGAATTTTCACAGCTGCATCATCTTCGGAAAGTAATGAGTTTGGACTTGACGGATGTATATGCATTTTTGGTGAATATTTTAAAAATAACTCAAGGTCAGCTTTTAATATCACTTTGTAAACTTTTTAAGGAACAGTTGCGGACGAGAAAATTTATTATTCACTTTAACTTCTTAAACAAAGTTCAGTTTATCATTAAAACTTATTTTCAAGCGTCTATCGCACTCAAATTCCGTTCTGTGACTGGCTTCTTCACTCGATATTTTCACATTGAAAACTGCCTTTTTTTTTGTTTTCTCGTCAGCATCACGGCTGTTTTCGTGAAAACAGATTTTTAATGCTTCAGTCTGAATGTGTGAAGAAAATCTCTCACAAATGTGGAATTACATACGATATGATGAAAAAAATTGAGAGAAGGAAACGACTGACTGTTACTGTATGACATCGCAGGGCGAGTATAGCTCATTTTTTTACAGTTTTGTTATTAAACTCTTTATTTTTATGAGATGCGATATACAGTGAAATTTTAAAAAGGCGTAAAGCTGTCATAGATACAAACGAATCAATGCATTCAAGATTTTCCAATTCTTTTAATGGGAAACAGGGAAGAACTGAGTCATATCCAACTCAATTACTGCATGTTTGGTTTGTAATTAAAACTGATGTTATGACGCAAAACATCCTTCACATTAATAAGGAACTATAATAATCGAGTCTGATGATTTCATCTAAATTGGAATTTAATTGATAGACATTCTGACTAACAACCAGTGAGACTCAAAGAGATTTCAAAGAAGATCCAGTGAAACTAAAAGGAAAGATTTTTGATAAATTGCATTTGGCATTGGAAAATTTTTGAAGGATGATCAGTTGCTATAGCAGACTTAGAGATTTTTACATGCACATGTATCTACGGAAATTTCCTCAATCATCTGCTCATAAGTTTTCAAGTGTATTGTCATGATCAAGAAGGTTTGCTTTGAATTGTAATTGAATATAATGAGTCAGTCAGCCAAGAAGATAATTTGAATAAAAAATAAACATGTTAATTTATTATCATTGCATCTACTTAAATTAATGCGATAAAGGTTAATTTAATAGTACTAGCTACTTTCTGTGTTTGCAATAAATTTTCATAAAATTCCTGAAATAATTAGAACGCTTGAAATTCACAAAAGAAATTGATGTCATCAATAGCTTCTTTTGAGTATTTTCATTTAAAAGAATGTCTCTACGTCAACCGATAAATGACCGGATTAAAAATTTTAATGCGAATAATTTTAAATAACGGACTTTTAAAATTCAAATTTTACTGGATAAATTGGTGAAATTCAAAAAGTATTTGTCTGTTAAATTTTTATGACAAAATATCATTTGTTATGACTTATTAAACTACAGTTACATTTGATTTCCTTTAAATCTGTTTTAATCAACAAAAATCCCTTAGACAGTTTACGTTTCAATAATAATAAATGATATTATTCGGTAAAACAAACACTCCACGTGTTTGTAACGCTTTTAAATTATTAAAGTGTTGCATTTAATTAAATGAGATCCATTTCCAATCAATTATTTTTCCTCTCGACTTGGCGGAATTCACAAAACATTTTTCCGTTCATATTTTAATTTATTAGTTTCATCTTCACGTGAATAACACATTATTTACGATTAATGCCATAATAAATTTCTTTTCTCACTTTTCGATGATACATACTTTTTTTTTGCAAATACTATTTTGTATGTGCATAATTTGCGGATGTTTCAATTTCATTGTACAATTAAGAAAAGAAAATATTGTGTAGGTAGAAAGCCTGATGAGTTCATTATTTCTTTTCTGGCATAAACGTGAGAAAATTTTCAAATGTGATCTTTACTATTATTTTGGTTAAGAGAATTTATTTTCACAAGAGCAAGGTGATCATCTGCTGTGCAGGAAGCGGAAATAAATTTCTACCGGTTTTTATTATTTTAATTTTTTTTGGAATTCTTTCGAATCTTAAATTTTTTGAACTATCTTAAAATGCTATTAAATGACACTTGATAACCAAAATGCATCTTCTGTTATGAAATTTGGATGTTAAAACATCTGCCGATCTAGTTTGAAGATCAAGTCAAAATTTTTGTAAACATTTGAACCAAATTTGAATTCTTTTTATGAGGTCTTCACAATATTGACGGTTATAGATATCTAATGTGTTACCTTGTTATGTCGCATCATGACTTTTATTCCATCAGATTCATGTTTACATATGCTTCGATACCTTAGATTCCAATATGCTCCGAAGAAAGCCTGTAAAATTGTACCAAAAACCTTAAAACGATTGTAGTTTAAAAAGATTTGAGTTATAACTGACACGAAACTTGCTTGGACGATAACTCATAAAATATTACGGAACTGATTTTCAGAAATGTGCAAAATTACTTGAGCAAATAAAAAGTTTCGAAAATGTAGAATAAGTGCCTTAAAATAGAATCTAATAAAATAAGCTTTAGTTCTAGACTCTCGCAACACCGATGATTAGCTTTAAAGGACATATAAGAATCCTTTTTGAAAAACTCGAACCAAACAAATATTTTCAGATGCATTATCCTTCAAAACTGTTGCACCTGCTTATTAAAACATAAAGATATTAAAGCAAATGTGCCAATACAAACAATAAATATTAAAATTTTCACTGAAATATCAACAAATAATATACTGTATAGCTTTAGTCAGTTAATTTAAGTAACAATAAGCATTTACAATACTTCTGTACTTACAAAACTCAGCAGAAAGTTGAAAATTTCGCAAAACAAAAATTGACATTTTTTTTTCTTACACATGTTTGTTATTAAAAAAATTCCAATTTTTGACAGTTAATAACTGCCATAATCTTAAATCAGCACATCTATCTATCTTATAATACACAAAACATTTATTATCAGCTTTCAGATCCATCACCAATAAACAATATCAAGTTTTCAAGCAAAAAAAAAATCATCATAGCAAACATTTCATAAATTTACATTCAAGTTTTCAGAACAAATTTTCTGTGCAACAAAATTCCTTTTTTTCTTGGTTTCAAAATGGACAGTCATCACCTTTAATAATAGTAGAATGGACCATGTGTAAGTCTGCAAAATAAATTAGAGCAACATCCTTTACATCACCATCCACTTCTTATTTGCAACAATTTGCAAATCAAATTGAACACATTATTAATTTTGATTAAATTTGTTCGGTTTTAGGCTTCACTCAGCGACAGCGATTTACTTCAATTTGCGACGAAAAACTGAAGAGATTTCGAAATAAAAGTTCTACAACAATACTTTCTTGTAAAGTGATTACCTTGTCATATCTGCAGATTGAAAGTCGTTTCATAGAAGAACATTGAAGAGTATAAGTGAATGGAACTCTAACAAAGGGATTGGGTTGGAGTATTTAGATTAGGTTTGGCTAGACATGAAAGAAGATCTGATTTCTATTGATGATAAGCTTTTGTCATTTTGATCTTTTGTGACCATTGAGAGTCTCACAATTGCCGTTCAAATCTTGCATACCAGATTTTGTAGGAGGGTCCATCTAGGGTCCATAGAAGATGGTAATCAAGTTTGTCACCTCCAACCATACCTTGAAAAAGGTACCAAAATTGAGAGTTTCGTACTTACACTATATTTGTGACCCTAAATTAACACATGATTCCAGGATATGACTTTGATGAGGACCTGCTTATCTAGTTGAAAGCGTTTGAGACAAAAAAAAAATAGTAGAAGAAGCAGTAAGCAATAATAAAATTAATTATAATGGTATTATATTCAACACATTTTCCTCAAACTCATTGATAAGGAACGACTCCGCATCGAGTATGAAGCAGCGCAAGCAGTGAAATTCATACAATAGCTGGGAAAAAAGACGGAATAATAATGATCGATCAAGAGACGGTACCTAGCAGAAAATTACTAGTAATTACTTAGTAATTTACTGGATAACTTTCCATTTGCTACTTGCTATTTACTAGTCAAAATCCAAGTTCAAATCATCGCCAAAGACTCGCATTTTCACTTGCTAATACTAGTCAATTTGCTTACAATTTAACTAGTGATTTACTGGGGGTCCTCGATTTGAGTAGATTCGATTTGAATAGATTCGATTTGAGTAACGAAAATTAATGAAAAAAAAATTTAAAAAAAACTTTAGTAACGGACATTTTTCATACAAAAAGTAAATAATTCGCATAACACTGATGAACGCTCATGACTCGCACGCAAACCTGAAGAAGATAAATAATTAATTGAATGTCACACACAAATTTGGATCGAACTTATAAAACTGATTTAGAATACAATGAAAGTGGTTTAGATAGAACAAAATTTTCTATGATGATTTTTCGTAGGATTCGAACTTAAGCAGAAATGATCAAACATTTCACATGGTAATTTGCTATTAAATAGCAAGTGTAATTTACTAACAGTAAGTTGTTTTAATAATAACTAGTAAATTGCAAGTAGTAGAATAGAAAGACTAGCAATTTGCTACTTAGTCTCGCTCGGGGGTAAGAATGATATTTATTAATCTTAAGTTGCAATCATACTAATAGCAAATCTTTGTTTTAGGCGGCAATTAACATTTTAATAATAGCAAAAGGGGACATCATCATCAAACAGAAGACAAGGAACATAAAAAGCAACGCAAAATGGATTAAGAAAGACATCAGTAGGGATAACTGCATATATAGGAGGAATTGAAGATTAATTGGTAGGTAGTAATTTTAATTCTCTAAGAAATGTCAAGGAATTGTCAAACACATTATACATGGTTTCCGTGCCATCTATGGATAAAACATCAGTTCCAGCGCCAACTTCAATGGGTCTTAATCTAGGAATGGTACCAAATAAACATGCATCATCAAATAGAATGACTGATGATCATATGGACATTGAAATGGAAGAAGAACAGCATAAGACGAAATCAAATGATGCTATATCAAAATAATTCAAATCGAACTTACAAAATGGCAATTTTTTAAGACTTAGAAGAGATAGGATCACTTCAAAACTACAACTTCCAAACGATTCAAACAGCTGAAACAATAGTGATAATAGACGGAATAATAATGGTGACTCAAGAGAAGGTAAGAAAGATAGTCATTAATAATAAATTTCAATTATGCTAATATCATGTAAATTTAAGTTTTAGGTGGCAATCAACATTATTTATAACAGGAGAAAAAGACATTATCATCGTACAGGAGATAAGGAACGTAAGAAGCAACTCAAAATGGATTAAGAATGCAATCAAAATGGATAACTGGATATAAAGCAGGGAGATGAAGTATATTTTTATTGTAAGTTGTATATTTTTTTTTGATTAACATTTTTAAAACCAGTCATACTTTTGACTGGTTTATTCAAATTTTTACAATTGTAAAAGAAGAAAATGCCCCACCGTCCTGCTCAATTTTTTTTTC